AAGAAGGCGCTGCGGAGGCACATCCAGCTGAGGCAGGCCCGGCAGGGCGGTGTCCAGCACCTGAGCTGGTGAGAGGGGCCGGGCGGGCGGCTCGGGAGCGCATCCCACCCCAGACCCCCTCCCGCGGCTCCCCCTGAGTGCTTTTCCCCCAGGAAGTACATCTGGAGGACGTACCACCTAACGTACAATGGAGAGAAGCTGGCGGATGACAGGAAGAAGCTGAGAGAGTGAGTAACTGAGCTCTGGGGGCTGAGAGGAGCCCACGCAGCATCCCCAGGGGCTGGGCTGAGGTGCGAGGCCGTGCCCTGGGTCAGGGGGTCCTGTGCTGGAAAGCGGCTGGGAGGTGAGACGGCACTGCCCACAGAAGTGGGACAGGCAGGCTGAGGCTCTCTGCAGGTCAGGATGGCCTTAGGGGGTTCTTCAGCCACCGCTGTCCTGTGCTGGGTTCAGCCAGTTCAGACCAGCCCACAGAACCCTTGGCCATCTGTCCCAAACTCCTGCAGAATGGTTACTGTTACTCAGCTCGGCACGGATGTGGGATAGGAAGGAACAGGGAACAGGAACTGCCCAGGGAAGTTGTGGATGCCCCAGCCCTGGCAGTGGTCAAAGCCAGGTTAGACAAGGCTTTGAGGAACCTGGTCCAGTGAGGCGTGTCCATGGCAGGGGTGTTGGGACTGGATGGTCTGTAAGGTCCATTCCAACCCCATAAAATTCCAGGATTCTGTGAAGAAACCCAAGGATGGGTGTTGATTTTTGGAGGTGCTCAGCCACCTCTCAGTATGGTAACAAGACAGGTGATTCCTGTGTTTCCCTGCCCGTTCTTGAGGTGAGGAGGCATGAGGCACTTCCCAGCAGTGCTGGGTCTGCCAGCCTGTTGCAGGCCAGTGAGAAAAGGTGGTCAGAAGTACTAAAAATACAGCAAGACAGCCCTAATCAAAGCTGTCCTTGGAAGAGTGAGCCTGAGTGACAGATGTTGCAGTTAAAGGCAGATGAGCAGATCCTTCAGTGCTGGCAGCACATCCCACATACACAAGTGAGAATTTTAATGTGTCCTCTAGTAGAGCACAGCATGACAGTGTAGGAGTCCATCTGTCCCTGGGAAAGATGAAGCTATAGGGTTTCACAGGTTGTTTTTCCTGGGAAGCTGGCAGTTAACAGCCTCTCTCTCTCCAGGTACGGCATCAGGAACCGGGATGAGGTCAGCTTCATAAAGAAGCTCCGCAAGTAACCTTGGGGTAAGTCCCGAATGCCCAGTAAGAGCTCCCCCATCTTCCCCAGGCCATGGTGTTGAGGCTCAGAGCTGATGCTGCTGCTCTCTGCTGGCTGGCAGAGTATTTCTGAACGTCTGCACAGGGCTGGCACCTGGTTCCAGATGCTGGTAATGTTTGTGCTCCTCTCGGGGCAGGGAATGGTAACTCAGCTACTCCAGGGAACAGAGAGTGGGAGCAGCAGCAGGAATAACTGACTAGGTTTAGACTCTCAATCTGCTTCTACATTGTCTTTAAACTCATTAAACACAGTGTTCCTTTGCTGCTGTGATTCCTTCCAGGACCTTGCTTTCTTTTAGGCTTTCTGAATGTCTGGAAATCATTGTCAGGAGTGTGGCTGTGTTTCTAACTCATGCAGACATAGCTCTGGTATTAATCCTGCTGTTTTGAGAGAGTTGTGCACACAAATACACGATGGGGCCAACACTCTCAGGCTCTGTAAGTTTTAAAATATGCTTTTAAAAACAGTCACAGTGCCTGAAGAACAGGGGTAAGAGCAGCTTGTCCTAAGCCCGGTGTTGTTTTGCTGCTCCAGGTAGCTGGGTTAAAAAACTGTTCCTTTTAGACCACAGTTACCTTTTAGTCCTCTTTTAACACTGCCATATTTACAAGATCCAGTATAATAAAATGTGTGCCCTAACAACAGCCACCTGTTCCAGGGTGCCTGTGACCAGCAGTCATCTCTGGCAGTGGCTGATCCCTCCTGGACCATCACAGCAGTGTGGTGAGAAGAGCCCAGCATGCAGTAATTATTGTCACTGACAAGTATTTTCTTTCTTAAACAGAGAGAGCAGAAAATCCAGCCCTACCAAGACCAGACTGTGGATTCAGCACCTTCCTGGAGGAGAAGGCTATCACACTTCAAAGAGGAACAAACTCCACTGACTGGACATTCTCGTGTTTTTACAGTTGCTGTTTGTGGTGTTTGCCTCTGAGCTGTATGTGGATTCCAAGGATTAAAGAGGCCCTCTGGTTTTCTGAGGCTCCTCAGGCCCTTATTTCCAGCTGCAGATCTGTATCTGGCTGGTTTGGGTGCTCCACAGGGTACAGGAAATAGCAGAAGTGAGATTGAATAACAAAGGTAGGCACAGACTACTCAGAACAATTCACAGTAGCTAAAACGCTACCTCACCATTTAATCACCACCTTAGCAGTAGTAAACAACTCTGGTTAAAAATGTAGTATTGAAACTAGTGTAATAAAAATAATGGCAGCAGAAAAGGTTCAATACAATTGAACAAGGCACAAACATTCTGTTTTTCAGAGTCTTCTGAGATAAGGCAAACCATGCCTGCCAAGTGCTAAGGAGACAGTTTAAATTAACCATGGGCAGGGTTAGAAGTGTCACTGGATTAGAGGCTTTGTCCCCATGGAACTGGCACAGCAAATGCAAAGACAGTCCATCTCCAGGGCCTGCTCGAGAAGCCAGTCTTTGCTGTCAGTGGAGCTGTGCATCCAGGTCGTATTTCTCGCAGAATTTGTCTGTGAAGGGTATACAAGTGAGGAACTCGCACCACTCGCATTTGATGGGGTAGAAATAGAACAGAATCACCAGTCCTGAGAAGAGTGCAATGAAGATGAGCTGGAAAACTATAATTTGGCATCGTTTCCTATATAAATCAAACTTCCCAAAGCTAATGTAGGGCAGGAAGGCAAAGGAGAGGAAGAAACCACTGATAAATCCTGAAATGTGAGCGAAATTATCAATCCAAGGCAGGAGGCCAAAGGCGAAAAGAAAGAGCACCACAGCCAGCAGCTTGAAGAAGGCCCTCCATGGGCGTGCCAGGATTTGCCAACTCTGGAAGAGCTCCACAAAGAGACAGGCCAGAATTCCAAACTGGGATCCTGCAGGGCCAACCTGCAGAAGAAGAGCATTACAGAGAATGTCAGGCTCGTGCCACCTGCCTGGCCTCTCTAATCAGCTGCAGGAATTAGTCACTTCTTACTCAATTCCTGTTCAGTGGTTCCTGGCAGAGAGACTGCAACTTCATCCATATAACAGGGTGCCAGGAGTAAAGGGGCCTGCCTGGATTTAGGATCAAGGTGTGAGGCTAAAGAGGGTCCATCTGGTTCAAGTTGCCAGAGGGAAGAAGCCCTTGAAGGCCATCTCCTGGCTCCCCCCACCCACCATGCAGTTTTCCTCATGAAAGGAGCTGGCAGTCCTGCAGACCCAGCCAAGCAGTCTCCTGTGGGCAAGGTGAGCTCTGCTCTTTGCCACTCTCACATGGAGTGTCTGACACCAGCTACAGCACTTGATTTTAAGCCTGCCTGGGGCCTCTCTCTCCCTGTGGTTGGACAATCCCCCATCTGTTATGAGAGGCAGTCTTTTTCCTGCAGCCAGCCCAGGCCTGGTAGGCCCATGGTACCCCGGGGGTGTTGCTGCTCAGGAGTTAATGACAGTGTGGTGCCGTGAAGCTACAAGTGCCAAGGCTGCAGTGGTGAGCCCAGCTCTGCTGGCTCTGCCTCAGCCACAGAGGCACAGGAATGTAGAGAAGGGTTGTGCTCAGGGCAAGTTACCAGGACCCTGGGCTGCAGGAGACCCACCTCTGCTCTGTAGGGTAGAAATATTGCACTGGCAAGGTTCCCAGTGATGCCACTGAGAAGGTAGATGATAGAGATGCGGTGCCATCCTGCCAGCTTCTCTAGGTCCCGCAGGATCGTCATTTGGAAACAGACTGAAACCAGACAGTGCAGGATCCTGCCAAGTGCAGAGTACAGGAGCTGAAGCAGCAGCCACTGAAGTCACCCCTGTGTTCTGTCCCCAGCCTTGCTGAGAGTTCCTGCTCTGGCCTTACCCATGTGGCTAATCCCTCCCAACAAACACGGGATGGCAAACCTTGGCAGAGAGCTCAGCATCCCTGTGTCCCCCACAAAGGACAGCCACAACCCTCACAGCAATCCCGGGGCTGAGGGTGCCCCCACCCCAGCAGTGGAAGTTGTACACCCCTGCTTACCCAGCGTGGAGGAAAAGCGAGAGCCAGAGGCGGTAGAACTGGTCAGGGACTTCTGGATTTAGGAAAGGAAGGAGCCCACAGACATCATCCATGCAGTGCACCTAGGGCAGAAGTGGGTGTTGAGGGGCTCTTTTCCAAGCCCAGGGCAGGCTGCAGATAGCTCTGGAAGAGGGGCTCCCCCTCACTTCTCTGTTGAACCAAGTCCCAAGCCTTGTCTCCAAGACAAATTTTTATGACCCCATCCCTTCCCTGTGGCAGCTTTAAGCACTCATTTTTCACCCCAGCACCCAGAGCTGAGGCATCTGCTCACCCACAAAGCAGACTGTGGATTCTTCTCCCACTGCTTTCTCAGTGGTCCTTGCTGGACTTTACCAGCTGCCAGCCCAAGTCCCAAACTGGCCCCCAAAGGAGGGCACATGCAGCCAGCTCTGCCCCTCCAGTCAGGAGCAGCAGCTTCCCCCAGGCTCAGGGTGGGACAGGACACAGGACTCACACCTACTCTGCAGCACTGCCACCCCAGGTCCTGCCAAGCTGCTGGGGGCACCTGGAGGGAGAAGGGCAGCCATACAACCCCCCCAGCTGCACCCTTACCTGAGAGCAGAGCGTTGCCTCCTCATGGAAGTAGCCCCGCATAAATTCACAATACTCCCGGGAGGTTATTTCACACCTGCAGGAGGCACAAGTCGCACATGGAAAGCACAATGGATCATTCCTGTGCCCTCCCAGGCCACCCACTCTCCTTTCCTCATCCCATCCATGAGAACTGATGCCTTCAGCTGCTCCTGACATGCTGTAGTGTCTCAACAAAGGCACCAATTCCCATTTGAGCCCGGTGCCTCTCCACACACCCCTCTCCTCCAGGAATGCCTCCACAGATCCGCATGCCAGGGCTCCAAGGCAGGTCCTAAAGCTGCTGTTTGGAGCTGGGAAGAAGCACCAGCGCCTGGGGAAGCTGTGCCTCAGACTGGGGGAGTCTTGTGCGTCTGCAGCTGGCACAGGGGAAGGGGGGGCTATGTCAAGAGTGTCCCGGTCATGACTTTCAGGGACAGAGAAGCTCCTTGGGGCAGCCACACATTTTTCTCCCTAGCAGGGAAAGCCAAGCCCAAGCACTGGGTTACTACTCAAGCTCAGGGATAATATGAGAAAACCAGCATTCTCCTCTTTTGCAAACCCAGAGTGGGTCATTTCCCAGCATCTCCTTTGAGTACCCAGGGACTGCAGGCTGGGGACAATAGAGCCTGTCAGGAACAAGCTGGCCATTCCTAAGGAAAAGTGCAGGACTCCCCAGCAGAATTATTCAGTCCCTCCAAACTGGTACCCAAATCCCTCCATACTGCAGGAGCAGTGGAGTGAGGTTCTCTACTGTGCCACAGACTCAAGCTGGCTGTTAACTCCTGCTCATCCCAGACTCCTGCTCCATCTGCCAGACCTGTCATGGCTCTCTGTCCAGCCCTTCCCAGCAGGGCTCTGGGCTGTGTGTGGAAAGGACAAGGAGGCCAAATGGCTGTGTCTACCACCTGAAAAGGCCCCGTGTCTCACCCCAACACCCAGCCCCTCCATTCAGGTAAAACTCACTACCTTCCCTTGGTCCCAATGCAGCAGGGCCGGCCCGTAATCACACAGTCCATGTGGAGGTGGTTGGTGTAATTCCCAGCACTGTTTTTTGTGCAGATCTGGAAAACAACAACAGGCTGCAGTCAGACAACCACAGCTTTGCTTGCTGGCTGGGTAAAATCAAAACAGCCCCTTGGGAAGAAGCCAGATCCCAGACACAGCTCCCTCTGACAGCAGGACAGTGCCTGATGCTCCAGCTGCCTGATCATCAGGTGACACCTCCTCTGCAGCCTGAGGCTGAGCTGGTTTCCATCTCCCTGTTACCCTGACAGGATCCAGGGGCTTTAGCTGGCACAGGACAACTTTTGTTGTTGGAGGCCTTTGAGCCTTGGCTGGGCAGAGCACAGCTGCCCTGAGCTGGTGTTTGTGACAAGCAGCAGAAGCTCTGCCCTCCCACCAGAGCAGCTGGGGCTGTGCACAGGGGATGCAAATGCCACCCTTCAGCTGCCCTGCAGGCCCTGTGCCTCTGGCCATGCTCACCGGCCACTTGGTGATGTCATCTGGCCACTCGTGCGGCTCCATCGAGGCTGGCTGCTCACACACCCTGCAGCAACAAAGCACAGATCAGCCTCAGAAATACCCTTCCCCAGCACCAGCTAGGATCTCCACACTCTGCCTGTGCCCAGGCTGCCATTCCACAGCTCCCTGTGTCCCTGGGTGCTGACACTGACACCTTAGACCAGATCAGCCTCAGCCTTCTTCCAGCAGAGATCACAGAAAGCACACAGCTGCCCAGCAACAAACTGGATCCTTTCCAGGTGGGCACACCCCACGGGCAGGAATTCAGCTGGTTTCAGCTCTACATCAGTGCCTGTGCCAGGGCACCCAGCAGCACACCCAGGGCTCCTGGACAGAGGCGTGCTAGGCTCCTGACTGCTGCACTCCACAGCGAGCAGGTGAGGAGGAGGAGAAGGTTGAGGAAGGCACCCACAGCTCACAACAGGCCACTGTTCAGGTGAGCAGCCCACAACAGAGACCAGGGGTGAGCAGAAATATGATCACACCCTGCATCAGCCTCCCCTGCAGTGTAGGGACATCACTGCCCCACAGCCCTCCAGAGTAGCTGCTGCCTCATCCAGCAATCCACTGGCCTGGGACTGACTCTACAGCAGCCCTGCCCCTCCAAGGACGGCAGCTGGGTCAGGCAGGACCTACCTGGGGTCCTGATGACAAACAGAGCCAAACTGCCTCTTGTTTCCTGCCAGCATCGGAGTGCTGGGGTGATGGGGCCACTTCACCCACACAGCCAGCGTGGACTGCAGGAGAGAGGAGAGGTGTCACCATGAAGCCCAGAGAAAAGAGACATCAGCAGAAGTGGCCCTGCCCCTGCAGGACTGGCAGGAAAGGGCCATGGCACTCACTGAGCACTCCTCCTCCGAGGTCTGCACGCAGCCTGACTTGTCGTTGCGCACGCAGCACGCCGAGTGCTTCTCCTTCTCCCGCTTGGCGCTGATGAAGCTGTGCACCTGCTGGTCCTGCCTCATGCACGGGGAGAACTTGGCCCCCAGGTGGATCAGGGCCTCCTGGCAGAGATGGAAACACTCAGCTCAGCCAAGGGACTGGCAATGATTGCCTGGGCAGAACAGGCTGGGGGAACTGCAGACTCGAGAGCCAGGGACAAGTCCTGCATGATGAAGCCCAACACACAGCATGCACATTCTCCATATTTGCTTTGGAGACAATTCCAGAACAAAAGTTCAGGGATTTCTTTGCCCATAGCCCCAGGAAGGCTAGCACTGTGGCTGGGAAAGAAAACTTTGTCATGTTTCCTCTTAATTTTCATCTTTCCCAGAGGAATGGCATCAGGAAAGCTGTCACACACCATACAACTTCTGCACTTTTTCTAACCCCGTGCCTGTCTTTGTAGGAACAGCGTGCAAGGTCCATCCCAACCTCCAGGCACCCATTCTGCAGGGCAGTTGGGGGTGGCAGGGCTGCTGCTCCCTGGCAGTGACAGCAGATCCCTGAGCTGCAAGCAGCAGAGGGCTCTGCTCCATGGGGTGGCACAGCTGCAGCACACAGACCCCCATCCACCCACTAACAGTCCCACCAATGGCACTCACTGAGCTGGGGCCGATCCAGAAGTTTTCCTGCTGAACATATTTGACATTTTCATAAACCCCTCTGTTTCGCAAAACCTACAAGGAGAGAAAGCAAGAGCCCTGTGAGCCCCAGCCCCCAGGGTCACCAGGGCAAGCAGCAGGGAGTGCTGAAAACAGCCCCCAGGATGAACAGGAATCCCCACAGCCAATGACAGGACCCACAGCTTTCTCCAACTGGTCTTCTGCAGGATCACATGTAAAGCCCCATCACAACATGGGCACCTTCATGTTAAGGTTTCATTTAAAATGCCCATCTCTGGCTACTTCAAGGAAAACTTTCAAGAAATCCCAGGGTCTGGAGCCCTTGGAGTGGCCTGAGCCTGCACAAAGCTCCACAGAGCAGCACAGGCAGCACCCATAGGCAGTGCAGGTCCAGGTGCTGGTGGCAGTGCTCTGAAAGCTGTCAGATATGGAGCTGAGATGCTCCCCAGAACATCTCCTGCATGGAGCAGAGACGTGGCTGTAGAGGTATCTGTACCCCAGGAACCTTTAACAAGGGGTGGGAAGGCTACAAACAGCTTCAAGATCAGCTCCCAAAGTCACACAAGTCTATTTTGCTCCTAAATCCTACAACTGCTGTGAAAACTTAGCTCAAGTTGGAAGTATTTCCCTACCCTGATCATCCTTCTGGTCTCCACCAGGAGGGGAACAAGCTGTGTGGAAGTGCTGCCAGCACAGCCACGGTGCTGTGTGTCAGATATAACCTGACATCAGGAGCAACGTGGCTGCAGGAGGGAGAGGAGGAGGTGTGGGGGCTCCCAGAGAGCCTCCAGGCAGTCCCCCAGGGCTGCACAGCCAGCAGCCAGCCCAGGAGGCACGGAGCCGGTTTGCTGTGACACAACAGCTGAGGGCTGAAACTCGATCACACTCCAGGCACATCAGGGGGATTCACTTACTGAATCAACAGTTTCATGCTGTGAGAACCCCACAGGGGCGATGCCGTAGATGCACACAGCGAGGATGGTGATGAGTGAATGCACAAAGGTCACCCAGTAAGTGAAGAAAGGCCTGGATGGAGGGAAGGGGAAACGATCAGAAACACAGGCATATTACATCTATTAACACAAGAGAGGGGATTGCTGTTTTCTCCCAGAAACCTCACCAAAATCTGGGGCACATGGCCAGAATCACCTAGGAGTGCACAGGACAGGAGGCAATGACCTAAGGTCTTGCTGAAAACAGAACCTGTTTACTCTGTTTCCCCCATTACCCTGGACAACCACCCTTTCCCAAGAAAACATCCATGAGAACACCGAAGCCTGACGTTGAACTGTGCTGTGTGTCTGAAATAATGGCTCTAGGGGGATGATCAGGGATAGCTGAGCCTCGCTGTTCACCACAGGACAGTGGTGGTGGCACAGAGACCTGCAGTTCCCCCAGGCAGCAGAGACACGGACACACCATGAGGAGCTGGGTGAGGTCCCAGTGCACGGTGGCACAGACACGCTGCTGGCTCCAAGGGACAGAGATGGGGAAGCTCAGCAGCACACAGTGACCCAAATCCCCCAGGGCCAGCAGCAATCCCTCGCTCAGCAGCTGTGCTGGGAACACCCCGAGAGCGCAGCTCTCACCTGTGGTCATCCATGTCCTCGATCTGCCGCTTGACGTAGCTGTCGATGCGCTTGCGGTAGGTCCTGTTGGTCAGCTTGCCCACCATGCCCAGCCCATAGGGCCTCTTCTCCTTGGCAAAGAGCTTCCTCACAGGGACAGCGATGCGCTGGCCTCGCTTCTGGGGGCTCACGCTCACCACCTCCTGCCGCAAGCGCACCTTGGGCTGTGCCAGGCCCCCGTCCTTCTGCTTCCTCCAGCCTCGCTCCAGGGGGCTGAAATCAAACACAGGACAGCAGTAGGGACCAGCCTTCCCGTGGTCTTTGGTGGCAGCACAGCCTCTCTCTGTCCCACCCCCTCTGGGCAGCAGCTGAGGGCAGACAAGGTGCCCTGAAGTGGGAGCTGTATTTCAGCTGCATTACACAGAGCCGGTAAATGAAAGCACAGAAGTGGCAGAAAGCAGAGCACACACACAGAAAGTGGCACGAGGCAGCTGTGCCAAACAAAGCTCCACCACTGAGGAGCTCTTGAGGCTTTCCAGTGTTTCAGGCTGAAACAGGGAGGCTGCAACAGGCACCTCTGCAGCCTCAGGCACATCTATTTCCTCCCCTACTTCAGTCCTCTTACTCTGCCCTCTGCTATGAAATGGAAGTGGAGTTTAGCCCAGCAGTGGAAACACTCACCTTTAAATGGAAATATCCACCTTTACATGTCATTTCAATGTCTCATTTCAATGACATTGGCAAACTGGCAAAATGACAGTGGCAAATTGGACAAATCCAAGCAGCTTCCCAGACCAAGAAAGCAGCGCTGTCACATGCTGTACCAACTACCTCTCACAATCTCTCTTCCATTCCTCCCTTATTTGTACCAATGTGTGCATTTTTCAGAATAAAATAAAAAAGCAGGCTTCAACCACACAATAAAAATCCCAAGCATCCTGAGCTGAAAGAAGGCTTTTTTGTCAAAATAGGTCTGATGAACTTTGCACAGGTTACTGATAAATAATAGCTACTTTTTAAGTCTCCATCACATCCAGATAGTTTTGTATTTCCTTGCTGTTAGACAGCAGGGTGCAGATCACATCTGCAGCACTCAGACCTGACCAAACAAACCCAGCTATTTCCCACTTCACCATCCTCATTGCCTGGCACAGCAGCAGGCATGCTCTGGACATGTGCTCTGCTCCAGTGTACCTCCTCTGGCTTCCTAAACAACCCACTCTGCACAAAGACATTGTCAGAAGTGCTGAGAGGAAACAGCCAACAATCTTTCTCCTGAAAGGTGACCAGAGTATCTGGAGAGATCATGACAGCTCTGAACTATGGGCAAGCAACAGGATAAGGGAGAATCTGAACCTCTGTAGCCAAAATACTGATGGAAGCTTCAGCTCTTTTCACATTGCACCTTGTAGGAGATGCATTTGAACATCCAAACTTCCCTTTGGGAAGTCCTTCTCCAGCAGAAGGTGCAGATTCCACTGCAGCTTGCCCTTGCCCAAGAGGTCAAGAGATTTCTGTGTGGTGGATGTGCTGCTTCCTGGTATTTCCAGTGCTGGAAATCTCCCCATGCCCAAACAAACATATCACCACGTGAAAGGACACCCAGCTGCGACTGATAACAGCTCTCTGAAGTGTGAAAAAAAAGTCTTTTCCTCAATAAATAAAACTATTTAAGGAGACTCAAAGGGAGCCAAGAAGACTGAAACCATCTCAGAGGAGTGACAACAAACTCCCACCATTTGTGCTTCCCCTTATGTTAAACTGAGTCAAGTTCTTGGAAACACTTGAAGGGAAAGTGCCAGCACAGCAAGACGGGCTGAGAGCAGCAGAACCACAACAAGGACCTCCCTGTCTGCTCCATGTTCACACCCAGCAGAGCTCTCTGCCGGGGTGAGCTGACTCGGAAGCAACACAGAGCAATTACTCAGTACCAGTTACTCAGGTGGAAAAAATCCAGGCATACAGTACAGCACCACCCACATATTTGTAGGGCTCTCAGCATCAGTGCCACACCTTTCTCTCATTTCAAGCGAGGAATGCAGCCCAGCTTGACACTCTGCAATGCTTCACCGCTCCTTGGAGCATGACAACATTTACTGGTGACTGTGGCAATGGCAACAGCTTTCTCACTTTGCCATGCTCTCCATAGCCAAAGGCTGGGCCCTCAGCATCCTCACAGCTGATTTGAAGTGTCTTTTGCTTCCTCAAGGCATGATACAATCTCTGAAACACGTTAGTATGAGGCTGGAAGTTGCTGGAGTGACTGCAGAAGTGGCCTCAGAGTCACCTTTTACACACATGGGTAGCTGGGACAGGAGGTTTCAGCTGGATTTAAAGGAAAGCCATCATTGCACTGGTCTGAGCTCTGCACCAAGCACCCTCAGCACTCAGTTCTTGGCTTCCTCCATGCAGGAGGCCCCACTCCAAATGGGCTGGCTACCCCATGTTAGGATTTGACAGCTACCATGAAGATACTCACAGTAGTAAGTGGCTTCTTTCAAGCTCATTTTTGTCCAAGGCACCTCCTGTGAGATCTGTCTGATCTGGAGGTTTCACCTCAGCATCTTTGATTGCAGCTTCTGATGGTGACTCGAACACTTCATCCGGGTAAGTGGAGAGCTCCTCGTGAAGGACTCCTTCCTGGGCAGAGAGACAGCAGTCCCATCAGAAGAAGCCAACATCCCACTTGAGACAGCAGCCCTGGCAGAAAGCAGTGCTGCTCTAACAACACACAGTCCTGCCAGAAGCAGAGTCCTGCTCTGCCTCTGGGCCAGCCCCATGCCAGACCTGCCCCTCACCCGAGCAAAGAAGGAAGTGTCGAGCTCATCTGGGAAATCCACCGTGTCCTCCTCCAGGAAGCTGGCAGGGGTGAAGCTGCGCCGCTGGGCCCTCCTCAGGGTGCTGTCCTTCACAGAGCGGCCCTGCAGCCAGGGACAGGGGCATGGAGAACCCAGAAACCTGAGCCCCCAGCTCACAAACCCACCCCAGCCAGTGCACATGAGCCCAAGTGCTGAGCTTGGCTCATGCTTGTGGATGGAGCAGACATGACATGTAACGTGTGACACCTTTCAGGTGAGGCTCGCAGCTGTCACCCTTCTCAACCCACACACCCCTCTCCAGGCTTGCCACGTGCTCCTCTACCACTTACTGTACAATGTGTCTGACCAAACCACGGTGATGGCTGCTGCTGGACACAGCAAAAACATCTCTGAGCCCAGGAAAGCAGGCACAAGGCAGGATGAAGAGACTTGTATAGCAAGAGCCTCAGGTATTTCTGCTCTTCCGTGGCTGCTTACCAGGTGCAGATGGACCACCCAAAGCTCCAGACAGGCTGAACTGGGCCTGCTAGAAGGCTCTGAGGCTGCTGGCTGTGGGAATCCTGGGAAGTCCCCAGGCCAATAAAGAAAAAGCAACACCCGTACCTAACCTGAACCACCCTCCCTGCTTTCTTGCCTCCTGTACACATGGCTGAAACACAAGAGGAGGTGACTTCATTTCCTGCCCTCCACCACAGCTATCCCCATCCTCTCTGCTGAGCAGCTCCTTCCCCTGCACCCATCTCCCAGGGCAGGGAGCGCTGGTCTCTGCGGGCAGTACCTTCACCAGCGCGGCGGCCGCTCGGAAGCTCATTTTGGCCACGGACTCGCGCTTGCGGCGCCGCGGGAGCCGGTTGAAGCCCGAGCGGGAGCTGGTGAAGGAGCAGAGGGACGTGGCCCCCGGCGTGATGGGCGTGTGGGGCATGCTGCAGCCGTCCGTGTCCTCCGCCATCCGGAACGCCCGCCCCCGGGCCAGGGGGTCGATGATCTGCCAAGAGGAGCGGCCTGTCAGTCCATCACCCCCAAACCCTTCCCAAAGCCTCCCCTCTCCTCTTGAGACCACGGCCGGGGCCTGGCTCCCGGGATTGACCAAGAACCAACAAGCAATTCTACAATAGGGAGATAAGGAAGATCCTATTGGGTTTTTTTCTCCTTTGTTAGCATTGACTGTTGTCAACCAGTCTGTTCCAGTACCTCACATAAGACTCCAAACCTCCTCTAGCCCTTCCTAAGCTCTTGGTTTCATTGTCTGCCATGCCAATGAGCTCAACATTCAGAGTATGTGCTGTCTAAATAGGAGTCCGAGAAATCCCTGAAAACAGAAATGTTCTTTCTTCAGCTAGTTTCCTTCCTGATACTGGACAGCCCAGGACTTAAGCAGTTTCCTGTTATCCTGTTGAAACTTTACTGTATATTTACATCTGTTTCCATTAATTAAGTTTAACAGCTGGATAAAGCAGGCAAGCTTCCAGGAGCTGCAAGCCCTTCCTTGGGACTCCTCAGGCCAGCGCTCTCACTTACTCCAAACATACAAATCAACGTAATGAAAATATTGCCTTCAGCTACAAACCTTGCCTCTGTCCTTACATCATCACAGCTGTGGTTTCCATAAGACCTCTATGCTTTATCCCAAGGTTTTACGAGTTTTTTAATCCACAGTTGCACACTCAACACAAAGCTTAATGAGCTCACACCTACTGACACCATGTTCTGATTTAATGTAGCCCACATAGAGCTCAGCAATATTTCTAAGTCTCCTGTCACCAAAGATTAGGTGTAAGACATTCAACAAAAAAGAGGACAACAAGGTGAAATGTGATTGAAAAATGCACTACATTCTCCTCTGCTTTAGTGATGCCACAAGGCTGCAGGTCACAGACTGACCTGCTTTGGAAGGAATTGTTTTCCCACTCACCCAGTGGTGCTCACCAAAGCACAGTCATCAACCACACCAATTACTGTCGCTGAGTGGAGCAGTGGGAAGGGCTGGATATTGTGGTTAGTTCTGGTCACTGGATGTGCTCATCTGGGCCCTGCCCCCTTGGGTCACACTTAAAGGAAACAAGCAGGAGGTAGCACCAAACCCAGGTGCTTTTTGCAGGCACTCAAAACCACTTCTGAGGACCCTTGAGCAGAGCTGTAGCACCACTGATGCAAGAGACACTTCTCCAAGTCCTAAAACATAACCAGGTTTCTCTGGGGACAGCAGCTGTGCCACAAGCCTTTATTCTGCTCGGGGCAGAATAAAGTCCCCAGTGATTCCAGCCCTGCTACTGTACATTTGGGTCCAACATAGGGGCTACTCAGGCTACAACACAATTCTGTCCCTGCAGCAGAAAGGCTGAGCTGAGAGCTCCTGGACACCTGCACAGCCCTGATCACCACAGTCACAGCATGACAAGCAGGGCTCCAGCACAGCTGAGGGATCTCAGCCAACGAGACCGGAGAGAGGCTGCTGGGGGAGTGGGGGGAGAGAGAGAGAGAGAGAGAGAGAGAGAGAGAGAGAGAGAGAGAGCGCTGCCAAACCATACCTGGGATGTGAGAAGTGTCTGAGCACAGAGCCCAGACGTGTGGAGGCAGAGCTCAGCCCGCAGACAGGTCACAGCTGCCAGCATGCTGAACACACCGAGCAGGGAACAGCAATGGCCTTGCCTCTGTCCCAGCTTACCCACCTTCTGCATGCCCAGCTGGCAGGGTCCCACGTAGAGGGGAGGAGGGGTCTCTGTGCTTGTCAGAGAAATATTGTCCTGACTGGGCAAGTCCATCTCCCGGATGACCTGAGGCTTGAGCTTCCCGTAGCGCAGGCTGCAGTGGCGGAGGCTCTTCCTCTGCCATTTCTGAGTGGCATCGCTGTCTTTGCTCACCCCAAACCAGTCTGCCGTGCCTCTGAAAGATGCCAGCAGACAAGTGCTAAGAAGAAGGATGTTTGCTTGGATTGTGCACGTGAAAAGACAAAGCCCTGGTGGTCACTTCCAGCCCGCCCCAATTCAAAGACAGAACTCTTTCCCAGGAGCATCTTGCAGCTTGTGCTCAGATGGTTTTAGCAACCTGACAGATGCTGGCCAGAAATGTTTGACCATCAACAGCATTCTCTTTCTTAAGACAGAAGAAAAATGACAGGAGATGTTCACTGTGGGTAAAGGACAGTTTGTTCTGAGTTTTTCTAAAAATAAAGGAAAAGAAATGGTACAGAAATTCAGAAAATAACTTTCTGAAAGGTGTTTTTTACTTTAGAAACCATCTATTGCAAACACTTACCATCTTCAGGCTCTAGGTCCCCATTGTGAGATTGTACTGTTTCACAGCTCTGTAACTTCTCCCAAAAGCCACCAGAAATCACTCTTCTCTCCCAGCCTCCCCTCCACACTCCCAGAATCTCCCTAACTTCTCCATCTCACGCTGCAGGATTTTTAACCTCCTCAAGGGTAGCATTAACAGCAAAGCTTGCTGCAGTTCTGGTCTCTGCAAAGGCAGACACACACAGTTCTAAGCTGCTGGCTGCAGAAGCAGGAGCACAAGGCTGGAGCCAAAAGGCAGGTTTGCTGCCAAGTGGCTGCTGCCACAGAAGAGCAGTGGATCAGAAGCAAAATCCCAAGGAAGGCAGGGAGGGATCAGGATAAGTCAGACTAAAAGCCTATTTCAAATCCTGCAGGACAGCTGGTACCCTAAACTTACAGGGGTCATGGCAGCCCTGCCAAGCATTTCCCACCATGGCAAATCCATCCTCGGGAGATGACAAGCTGTCTCAGCCTACAGCTGACTGACCCAGGTGTTGAAACCTGAAAGTCTTTCCAAGCCAAACCCAAACCCCTGGCCTCAGCCCCCCTGCTCAGGGGCAGGATCTCCAGCTGCTGAGAAGCAAGATCTCACAGATCACAAAGGGAGCATTAAAATACACACTGGAGTAAAGGCTGGGATAAATCTAGAATTAGGTCACACAGGGGAACTGAGACAGTCTGCTGGAGACAGGAAACTAGCCCTGTGGTTTTGCACCATTTCAAGCAAAAACTCCATCAGCCAACAGGTGAAGGTGCTCTGCCACCATGTCAAAAGGTGTGTTTGAAATCCATGGCCTTGCTGGCTAAAGCCTTCCATATGCAACCACCACGCATTTCCCTCAGCCCTCCCAGTTCTCCCAGTGATACAGGACAGACCCTTCAGAGGTCATGTGGGCCATTGCTGGAATTCACCTGACCTCACTGACCCAAATGCCACCAGCAAGTCAATGTGCCAGCCTTTGGAGATGGGCTCTGTGAAAACCTTGGGGCACCTCTCTGCTCCCACAGACCCACATCTCCTTGAATCAATCTTCCTCTCCACCCAGAGGAAAGGCCCAGGGCCAGCCCCTGCCCTGACAGACTCAGCAAGCCCATAGCACAGAGGTCAAGTTGCCATCTGCTCTGGCACAACACACACCACAGAAGAGCCTGCCAGCTCAGAGGGCTCCCCACACACCGCTGTAACCAGCACTTCAATGGCAAGGTGACCTTGGGTGACAAGCCCTACACAGGGCCTCAAAGGGAGAGGGGCTGAGGGTCATTTGGGCCCCTATGAGCCTGCTGAGGAATGGCACCACCAGCAGCCACAGAGCTCTCCAAAACTGTGCTGCCACCAGCCTGGAAGGACAAGCACCACCACAGCTGTTGGCACAGCGAGGAACACTCCGGAACTGCCAGAGACAACTGCTGGGCCAGGGCTGGGGTGAAGAGCTGTCCCACTCCCTGACCACAGCCAAAATACTCCACTAAAGACTTTAGGGCATCTGGAGCACCCTGGGAAGATGCTGAATGTCTCTGCTCAGCTGGGGAACTCCATCACATCCTACAGAGTCCCCAGGGCACTGTAACAACCAACATCAGAGCCTGCTGTCACTCTTCTGTCATGAAGAGCAGCCAAGCAGCCCCGAAATACAAAAAGGCCAAATACAAACAGCCCCAAAGGCAGTCACAGTGCCAGAGTGGCAGCTGGCCAAGGGCAGTGAGGATGGTAGGACAGGAATACAGGGCACGAGGTCCAGTCCCTGCCATGCACAAAGTCACACTGTCTGCCTGGTTTAAGAGTTTCCTGCGCTCCAGATTTGGGGTGATTGGCCATTGTGCCCTGGAATCCTGGAGTGGCTCATCTCCTTGGTGCTATGTAAACAAAGACCTCCACCTCAAAAAGAAGACATTCACATTTGCATTAGAAAAAGCCATGATGTCAACAGGGAAAGAGTGGATGCTGTATTCCATTCAGCGGCTCTGAGCCCCTCTGGACCAACACAACAGTGTCTGTTTGCTGCTGCTTCCTCTCCTTCCCCTCCTGCCCCAAGAAGGCTTTGGGGCCAACATATGCTGCACTGCTGCCAGCAAAGGCAGGCTGGGCTAAGGCTTCCCTGGGGAGATATTATTCCAGCCATGGTGAACACCAGGAGGTTGACAGCTTGTTAGGAAAGGCAGGAGGGAGTGAGGCTGGCGGGTGGACAGCTTGTTAGTCCATGCTACTTATTGACAGCTGCCTACACATTTAGTAGGAGTGACAATTGTTTTTTGTTAGAGGCACACATGAACTTTCTCACTCTGCCTGTCTGTAGGCCTCTTGGACAGTCCTGGGAAGGCAATGTGATCTCAGCAACAGCCAGACTCTGTGCAGTTCACAACAGCCCTGGCACACACATGCAGGGGTGGGTTTCACACTCGGTGCTACCAGTACCTGAAAAACGATCGGGGCAGGGACTGCCGCTTTCTCAGGGAGCTCCTGCCCCCCCGGTGCCCACGAGCGGGCAGGGTCTGACTCCTCTGAAACCGAACCTGCCTGCTGCAAAGAAAAGAGAGCTGAGGGGAAGGAACCTCCGGGGCTGTGGAGAGGAGCAGCCACTGCACCTCCTTCCATAGCCCCAAGGGCAGCAGTTGTGCCTCACTGCATGTGACAGTGGCCTCCAGCTGAGAGCACGACCTAAGAGAAACAACCAAGCTCAAGCCACACAGCAGCATCTTTCAACCCATGAGGCTGCTGAATCCTCTTGGTGCACCTGTGATGAGTGTCTCACATTGCTCTTGACGGGACCAGCAGTACTGCCATCCCCCTCAGCTCCCCCTCTAAACCTGCCTTCTTCAGCCCAGACACTCAACTACACATTCCACAGCTTTGGACACCAATGTGAAACCACGAAGGTGTCAGCAGGCTGAGATATGATCTGCTTAGGGACAGGTGACTGGTGCCCTGACAGGATCTTGCCTAGTGCACAGGTCTATCTGTGCCACATCTGCTGCCTTGCATGGACATCTCAAGACACCCTGGGAGACTGGAAATGGTGTCAGATGCTTTCATATGAATCACTCCCATATGCCTTGTTCTGGACTACACAGGCTTGACTTTATGTTCACACTTGATCTGTGTCCTCCAGGGAAGATGGTATGGAGTCCTGCTGCAGTTTCACATTCTGTGCATTCTGAGGGCTGTGCTAAGCAGAAAACTTGGCAGTCGGCCTTCCTGGAATCACAGAACAAATCCCAAGACAACTTAGGGATGTATGGTCTGCATTCTCCACTGCATCCCTAACTCTGCTAAATGGAAAACAGGGGTGTAGGCCTTGGTACTCTCCAGTTCCCTGGCCTTGTTTCTGATCCACTCATTTCATGCTTTTATGGCTAGTGTTGTGTAATGCATCTCCTGCACTTCTGCTCCTTGTAAAGTCCTTCCCAAAGTAAATTTGTCACACCAGCACCAAAGCAGTTCACAGTTCCTCACTCCCTGACATACAAACTGCATGTTATGAGGACTGGCCCTTCTACCTCATGCTTCTTGTCAGGGCTTCCACAGCACCCTCCCAGGATATCCCCTCATCCTTGACGTGCTCTTGCCTAATTGTTCTGGCAAGGAACATGTCCAGGGGAAGGAGGCAAGTGAAGAGACAATGTAGGTGTACAAGGACAGCCTCAGCAGGCCCAGAGGCTGCCCAATGCCCTGAAAAGAGCAGACGCTGCCTCACGGGCTCAGCCCTCCCAACCTCACAAGAAGCAGGATCAGAGTGGGCTGATGCAGGAGAGCTCCACCACCAAGGCAGCTGAGGAACATCTGAGGCAAAGGAAAACAGTGTGTGGGAGATCTCCCAGAGCTGGAAAGCTGCTCCTTTGTGAGTGGGCGAAGCCTGGCTGGCTGAAAGTACCCCTGACCCATGGAGCTCCAGGGATGCTCCTGGGATCCAGGCAGGCTTGACATGCTGCCAGAGATGGAATCGAGTCATCTCAGGAGAGAAGCTGGGAGAGCCACTCCCTCCAGGCAAACTGGGATAAGCCTTTCCCATGGTGAGGGATGAGCATCCAGCTCTGTGTGGCTGTGTCTCAAGAGACTCGAGTGGGACACAGGACCAGAGTAGCCTCTCCCTGCTCTGCACCACCCCTTGGAGCCATCTCAAGGACCTGCCAATGAGACTGTGCTAGGAGCCAAGCTGCTGAGAGCCCTGCACTGCTCCAGTGGCAACCATCAGCTCCCAGACACTGAACCAAGCACACCCCATCTAAGGCACAGCTAAACATCAGGGCCTGACACATCCTGCTACAGCCCCCCTGTGGAGCATGGGGGCAGCCAAAATCTGTCTGTAAGCAGCAAACACCATTCATTGTCCTGGTCACCAGCATCCTCCTCCCAGGACTTTATTCTCACATACTACAAACAGACTACACAGCACCACTGGGCTTCTGTATCGGGGCCAACCTGCAGCCACCCTTCCACAGCCTCACGAGGTAATGAGGGAGTCAACCCAACCCTGCTGCCAAGGGATGAGCAGAGAATCACGGATCCACGGCTCCAGGATGGAGGAATGCACTGCAGCGGGCTCCAGGAGCTCCGTGCCTCACCTCTTGATGGTCTGGGTGATTGAGGTCTGTCGCTGTAGCACCGGTCTCCTGGCGGGGTCGTGGGGCAGTGACGGCACGCGGCTGTTGTCGGCCGGCATGCTCACGCTCCGCAGGAATGCCTGGCGCCGCGTCGGCTGCCGAGGGAAGCAGGAGGGAGTCAGAGTTCTGGGAGTGAGGATGACAGCAATTCCACATGTACTGCATGAGCCCCTGCAACACATCCTCCTGGCTGCTGTCTACCCAGATCACACTCACCTAGACCACTCCACAAGGTCAAGAGAAGCACAGTCAGTGGGATTTGCTTCTAAAGTGGCTCTGGACCTGCACTAAAAGCCTGTGAGAGCTGTGGGTGGGTCTGTAGTTGATGCCTGCTGCAGCCTAAGCAGGCTGGGAAAGGCTTTGTTCATAACCTGATTGCCTGGGCACACTGGTATGTCTTGGCTAAATGTCACCTACCAAATGTGACACAAGGTGAAAGGTCACCAGGCTGTTCTCAGCTCATACAACCAGATCCCCAGGGCTGCTCTGGATTACATCTCTATCAGCTCAGCAGAGACACCATCTCCCATTCGTACAGGGCAGGCTGAGCAGACTGCCCCTCTGGCAAGTGAAGCTCTGATCGATCCTCTGGTCAGACACTGTCTCTGCCTCAAGACTACTTCAGCCTCTCTAGCCCAGAAAGCTAATGATTTCCACTTACATTAACAGTTTTGGTATATTTTATGTAAAAGCAGTGCACAGATACTCAGGCTGTAAGTCAGAGGAGCACACAATGCACTTATTCTGACAGCCTGGGCTGAGCACCTGAGACCGCAGAGAACATCAACTCCAGCAGCTTCCATCAGGCACAGAGTGTCTCTCCAGGTGCTCAGCTGGATCTAGAGATTCCAGATAAGGGAAGATCCATCAAAGCCTTAAATAATTGATTCAGAAGGTTTCAACCTGCGCTGGTAAAATCCTGAACTCCACTTGTAATCCCTACAGACTGACCCCCAAACTCTTTCCTTCCAAGGGAAGGTCAGAACCAAGATTTATCTGCCAGGAGCTGTCACGTAAGTGAAGTGCATTTGACTCCCTGGATCACAGAATGCTGAAGAGGACAGTTCTTGCGGTTCCAAGTCCATTAGAAGTTCCCTCTTAAGACAAGCTTGTCCTCAGCCCACTCCAGGGAAGCTGGATAACCGTCCATTTCTCTAATGACTAAACTTTTTTCACATAAGTGACTGAGCCCAGGCCCTGTATCCACCCATGGAGTTGGGCAGCAAGAACCCTCTGGCTCTGCCTTCAGTGCACAAAGTGTCTGTTCCTGCAGCAAGGCCACACAAGCAGCCAGCATTCATACCCAGGTCTCACCCCTACAGCAGTTTTCAATACCCTGTAGCAGGTATTCCTCATACTCTTCCTATTCCCAGCACCAGTAAGGATGTTTTACTCTCATGCTTTGCACAGCTCCTATTAACCTATCACCTCATCTCTACTTCAGCACTCCTCAGTGTTATGTATTTCTCATCCCACATGGTCCTCTTATGTTCTTCATGCTGCTAACAGCTCTGTGTTGCCAGTAACTGCTTTGCTGTTACTGATGAAAGTCTGTCATTATCTTGGCTATTCATAAGTCAAATTCATACCCTGCTCATTTCAGCACAAGCTCCAGCACTTCCAGGCCCTCGCGCTTGTCTGGGAGACCTTCAGCCCTCTAATCCCCTTAAGAAACGCTTGTTTGAATACCTCACTCTAATATCCCAGCCAAGACACTTTTCACAATGCCCACGTCCAAACAGTCACGTCCACTGATGTGAGCACATCAGCCACCCACCCTCATCCCTCCCACATCCCCTTCAAGGGGAGTTAATTACTGCTCATAAATTTACTCAAAGGCTCTGCCCCTTCTTATGTGGCCTCATGACCCGCCACCACACGCTGCCTTTCCCCCAGCCAGGACTGATGGGAACCCCAGGCACAGGGATGCTGCCAGCTCATCTCTCCCCAGCTCCTCAGACCCTCCCTCCTCCCCAGCCCCTGTACCTGCACAGGCTGAATGGGCTCTTCTGGCACAGGCAGGGGCGCCGGCACCGGGATGTCCAGTTTTAACCATGGTGGCTTCTTCCGCTGTAAACTGCTGGTGCTGTCGTGTCGCGCCTCCGACATCGTCCCACGCTGCTCCTCAGGCCTAGGACAGGGAGACACCAGAGTCAGAGGGAGCCTGGCTCATCCCTCACAGCCCCTGCTGGCAGGGTGAGCAGAGTTCTCCTCCAGCTGGGGCTGATGGGCCCCAAAACCCAGGTGGGAAGAATTCCCAAAGTGCCCCATGAGGGCTCAGGGTCACAGCTTGTGCCCACACTGGTCATTCAGCACCTGGCACTCCGAGGACACAGAACCTCGAGCCAGATACAGAGACTGCAGTGACAAGTTTGAGTCGGCCCCCACTAAGATTTTTGCTGAGACTACTGTGAGATCCAGATTCCTTAAGAACAAGCCATGAATTAAATCTTAATGAGATCTGGATCCAGACCAACCAGCTAAGTACTGCAGTATCAAAAGCCACTGACCTCCCTCTAAAACCAGCTTGTGACTCACAGACACCCTTTTTTGCCCACCCAAAGCCAAACACCACACTTTCCAACCCACCTACCACTTAGCAATTAACAAGTGGCCACTTCTCATCACTGTTCCTAATCTCTTTTAAATGTAGTGACTTTCTAAAAACACAACACAATGCACAGAGCAATACCAGTATAGCATGAACATTAGAGAACTGGCACTAATCCTGAACTAAGAGTGGTTTTCATACATAAATAATAATGACATGGTATTTAAATAAAAACCACTGTGTAATCAAAACACCGCAGTGAGCGGAGTGACTCGCTGTCATCCTGCCCATTCTGCTGCAGTTTTGCCCTCCTGTATGGGACCACAGGAGCCTTTCAGGCTGGCAGAGCACCCACTTCAGTGTGCGTGCTCAGAGAAACAATTCAAAAAACAGATTTCACTGGAGGCAGATCAGCTCAGATACCTCCACAGGTACTTTCCTACCTAAATTATGCTACAAGTTTGTATTTCTTCCTCTCCTATAACACACACGACTTCAAGTGAACAGTGGGAAGCATGTGTGCAGAATGGGACAACAAATTCCATTCCCACCCAGCTCTCTCCTTGCATGGCCCTAGCCTGGCCTACAGCCCTTAGCCATAGCGGACAAAAATAATCAAGTGCCTCAGCCTCTTCACCACAGTGGACAGATGGAATAAGCAACCAGTTAAATCAGCAGGCACTCATGCTTTGACAGGGAGTAGGAGAAAAACTCTGTTGGAATTAAAACTTAGTGCTCTTACAGTGTTAACACAGCCCATTTATTTTAAATGCAGAGTGAGTTTAACACAAGGATTCCTCCTTGAGAGAGGCCAAGTCCTAGGCCGGGACCAGAGGCAGAGGGTTCTCCACCCTCAGAGACACTTGGCACACAACTAAACAAGGCCCTGAGCTGCCTGAATTATCCCAGCCTCGCAGTGGCTGAGCCAGTCAACCTGCACGGGTACCTCCCAACCTAAATTAGGCACCGGTTCTCCGAAATGTGCGCTGCCTCACAGGGCATTCCCACCGCATTCCCACAGCTGCTCTGGAAAGGGAACCACACACACCACTGCAAAAGATACAAGGCAGGGGGGCAGGTGGGGGGGAAATAGGTCAACAAATGGGAGTGGGGGATGATCTGGATTGGATTAGGAGAGAATCTCATCTAAAAGGAGCTGAAGGCCAGCTGCTGGTTCAGTCGCGCGAGCTGGGCCGGCTGCCAGGAGCGCTGTGCTCAGCTGAGCCGGAACGACAGAAAGGGAGGACTCGGCTGTAGGTGGATGAAGGTTGGGTTTCAGCAAATACCACAGGCCCCCAAAAGTCTGGGAATTCATGATCTAGCCTGTACAGACATGCCCTCCATACATGCAGCACAGTCCTGTTGCACAGATGTAGCGCTCTGCATGAGAGGGACACAAACCCTTCCTTCCCTCCCCGCCGAGCTGCAGGGGTGGTAAATACAACTGTTCTGACTTCCTATAAGATAAGAACAGTGAGAGTATTAGGGAAACTCCTGCCTGTGCTTGGTATGAGTAAACTTGCTGTGAGACATGATTTACTGGAAAAGGTCTTGCAAATTTGTCTTCATGGTGAGGTCAGAAAGCAAAGCAGATTTCTCATACCTGAAATGCTCCAGCTTCAGCATTTACCCCCGAGGATCACAAACATCTCCAAGAGGTGCCCTAATCAGAGATCAGCCGAGAGAGACAGAGCCACCACTCTGGCACGACCAAACACAATCTATTTCACACTACTCAAGAGCCTCCTTCTTGTGCCTTCAAGGGCAAATTCAGAGCCTCTGAAGTAGCAACTCTGGTTTTTTCAGCATCTCACCACTGAGCCAACATCTCTCAACATCCTTCCTGTCTACCTACAGAGCTGCCTTTGTGAGCAGGAGCTGTGGTGTAAAGAATACAAACATGCAAGATTTGCAGCTTTATCAATCAGTGAGGCCAAGCCAGGAAGGCAGAGGATGAATCATGCCTGTATTGCCCAAAAGTTGCTGCAACAACGTGAAACCCTGTGAAAGACTTCCGATTAAATCTGGTTTGAGTTTCCCCTCCTGAATTGCCACAGACAGTGATGTCCATGTATCTTGACTTGCTTCCTTGCCACCCTTGTAGACTGCACATGGGATCTGCAGAGTGTACACACCTGCCAAAGAGGACAGGGCACACACAGAGGCCAAGCCTGTGGCCTTACAATTACCCCCAAAGTTGGCTCAACTTTGTACATTAGGTAAGGTGAAGATCTCAAGATCAAAATCACATTCTGACAGAGCAATGGATTGCTCTGCTTTCTCTCCACTTCAGCAGTTAAAGAGTTCTTTAAGTAGCAAAGCATAAAAATGCATATATAATAATTGTCTAAATGCATTCAGTATTTAATCCTCAGGTGAGGAGTTTCCAGGGTGGCTGTAAACAGAGGACATAGGAGCAAATCCCCCTACCAATTCAACCTTCTTAACTCACTAACAGGTTCACTTCCCAATAAAAGAGTGCAGTGAAGGCAGAGTTGTTCAGCATTCCCAACTCCCTGTGTGCATTTGGAGTGTCCAAAAATAAACCCTGCAAACACCTAAGACTGGATCAGGCTCTGCCAGGGCAAGCACTGTGAATTCTGTATGAATAATCAGCCACAGCACAAAAAGGTCTGGGATATGGTCATGAGAGACAGGTCTCCAGGGGGTTAACGGGGAGCCTGAACATGGATCCAGCTGAATATAGGGATATATAGACCAGATGAGCATCAATGCATAGCTGTGTGCACAGCTGTACAGCAACACGCTCCAACAGCCTTTGCACAGCAGGTAACACCCCGTATTACACCTGGACCTCACTCCAAGTGCTGCTAATTTCTGTCTCAACACTGCAGTGAAAGCATTTGCTGAGTTTCACACTGACCCCTTGGTTACTTTTAGGGGTCAGTTTCAGGGTCCAGTGTTTATGTATTTCATCAGGCCAGTGGGCTTTGTTTCAAAGTTGACGGCATTGATACATATTTCGTTTGAATGGTCCCAAACCATCAATTCCAACTTCTCAGCACTGTCAAGAGGCCACCAACAGCAGCAGGATGGGAACACACAGAGCACAGCCATGCAAGGTCAGGCTCAGGGTCCCTCTAAAGCCACTATCTCATTTTCAGCTGAGGATGCCTGGCATAGGGTAGGAGCACAGGATCACTCCCAGTCCTATCTCCCAGGACAGAGCCATGGCACGTGCTATGAGTAACTCACAGGCTTCTTGTGCCAGAAATGTCTTTGCATGTAACAGTTCTGTATACATCTCTATATCCATCCAATGGTTATTATTCCAGAATTTATCCAGATCATTTTTTAATCCAAGCAAACTTCTAATATTCCTAACTGCACATGACAAGGCTCTAGAGCTGAAGCACGTGCCGTGTGACAAGCCTGCTCCAGCTCGCCTACAAACCTGCCGGGTTCACTTGCTGCTCTGTAGTTCTTGGACTAGAAGAGTGATCAGCTTTTCCCTATCCTCCTTCTCCATGCAAGTCCTGACTCTACAGATCTCTTCCATGTTCTTCCTACCACCCCCTCTTCCCACACCCACATCCAGAAGCTCAGCCCTCGTTCAGGGGCTGTTTCAGACCTCTTGCCTGTACTCGTTGAGTTTGGACTCTGTTCCACCAGCACCACAAAGCTCAGGAATATGCAAACACAAGACTAAATGAGGGGTATTTGCAAATCCAGCTTCTTTTAACTGATCAGCTGGTAGCAGCATAAAAATTATTAATAAAGTCCATTTCAATTAAAATAAACAAACAAAAAAAAAATGTATCAATACCAGATAGTCTGGGAAACTCATCTTCAGAAGGTCTGTGCCAGAGCAAGGTCACAGAACCAGAACGAAAGGCAAATCCACTGTGCTGTGGGTCAGACTAAGGAAGGGGGAGAGCACATTAAATACCAAAGTTGGCACATGATCAAGCAAAGCTGCTTAGTGAAATCTACTGACCCAAAGAGCAAAGAAAAAGCTTTGTCCAGAAGCCTGAGCATGTTCCTAAAACTGACAGGCATCCTAAATACATTTAGAAGCTCACACTGTCATTTCAAAGAAAGGCCATCTTTCCATTTAAACAGACAACTGAAGCTATTCCCATGTCGATTTCTTTTCTTCCAAAATCTCCACTTTACCAGCACTCTCACTTAAAATAAAGCTGGCTTTTTTCCCCCCCGAGAAACATTCCAAACAAAAACCAAACCAAACCAAAACCCCAGCTTAATTCAACACTACCACACAAACAAACAGCATCTGCTTTTTCCAACACCACTGCTCCTCTCCAGTAGTGTGTGCATGTTCTTACAGACACCCTCAGGAGGTAACAGACACCGGGGTTATTCCACTGCAATCCGATCGCCACCTTCTGTGCTCAGCCTCCAGCTGTTTTCCTCCACTTTTCAAACCCCATCACTGCAACAATTGTATTCACAGTGCCTGCTACACAAAGTCCCAGGGAAGCCCCATGTACCTGAAGGGGTCTGTGCACGCAGCTATTCTGGCTGAGGCACAGGAACCCAGGGGGACACAGCAAAGGAACCGAGGTCCTCAAAGTGTTCTCCAGACAGGACGAGCCAAA